GCTGCCACCATTGACCCAGGAGTCGTTGTGGTACTGGTGGATCTGGGTCCAACTGTCGCGCTCGGCGAGGTCGGCTTCTGGGCCTTGGAAGGATCCTTCACCGGACAATCTGCTTGGCGATGAAGTCGAGAACCGCAATGAGCACCGCGCCCGCTTCTCCTCCTTGCTCGCAAAGTCGTGCAAGTACTTGCAACTGGGGCCACGACGACAACCGGCATCCGACATGAAGAAACGGCATGGAGTGCCCTGCTTTGATCCGGCCTTGCTTGGCGACGCGGTTGGACTCCCGGCCTCTCCTGTCCCGGCGTTACCACCGACTGCACGTAGATGAGGAGTATCACCCGCTGCTCCTTGGCTTCGCGCAGAACTTCGGACGGGCACAGATTGTTGAAGCTCGGCCATCACGTGGTCATAGTACTTCAACACTGTCTCCTGTGTAGGTCGGTGTTGTAGCTGAAGCTCATTCCGGGCAAGGCTAAGTCTGAAGCTCATGTCATGGTGCCTTCGTACAGCAGGTCCGGCTATCAGCTCTACTCCCTTCAGGAGCACACTGGCGTCTGGAGGAGACACACTCATCTCCAAGGCTCGTGTCAAATTTCTCCTCCATTTCCGCAAGGACGAAATTGTATCCACCACGTTGTCCGTGCCCTGCGCACCTTCCAACTGCTTGAGCACCGCTGTCCTCTCGGCCACACCTCCTGGAGCGTACAAAACATGAAGTCGAAATAAAGCTCCAGACACCGTTGCCACCCGATGCGTCACCGCATCGTCTCGCACAGTTCGGGGCATAGCACTCAGCAACATAGTCATCACCCGTCGTTCAAGCCGGTTCCATTTGCCCTCCTTTAAGTCCGAAGTCATCACTGGTGCGATAGAGAGTCTCTCCATCGGTGTCGCTGTCTGGTGCTTCTGGTAGGCCTCCTTAGAGCATTTCAGAGTCTTCTCGAACCTCGCCGCTGCCGAATCTGAAAGAGAACCCACTGTTTGCTCGGCCACATACAACCAATCACTGAACTCCACTCCGGTCTCGCCCAACAGGTCCGGGAGCGGTGGGAGCTCCTGGCTCCCCTTGATGGGTTCCGTTTCAGGAGAACCCCTTTTTTCCAGGTACACTTGCTGTAGCTGGCGCATGCCCTGGACAAGAAGATCCAGGGGTGAGGCCTCCGCCTCCAAATCATCTGGCAAGGTCCCAAGCACCCGATCACTGCCCAGGGGCTCCTGGTTTCCACCACGTGGCTCTTGACCTTCGCGGGAGGGACGAGGAATTCCTCCAACAGCTTTCGAATGTCCTGGTAGTTCCCCTGGCGCACTGCGTGGTACTGATTCACTCAGTCCTCGGCCACCGGGAATTCCACCAGGTACCGCAGCAGGACCTGCAAGACCAGGAGGAGCTCTTGGAACTCTACTAGCACCCCCACCTTCACCCCCAAGAATTCCTCCAAGTTCAACGCCTGGAGCTCCTGATCGGGCCTCTCGGGTTCCGGGGTCTGGCTCACCTCCTCCAGTTTGCAACATTTCATTCATCAACTGGGCCGACATGTTCAGGGCCCTTTGCAACTCTTCGTTCTGAGTCTTTAGCGCCTGCAGCTCCGAGTCCCTACCCTGCATTGCCAACTGAACCTGTTTTCGGACCTCATCCATAATCTGCTCCTGGTTCACGCTCGCTGCAGAACTGTCATCGTTCTGTAGTCTCTCAGGCGGAGAAGGTCCTGTCAGCAGTGACGGTCTCGCTGTCCAGGCAGCCATAGCCCTGCGATTTTCTGGACTCATCAACGGTGGCCCCGGTGCGCTCTGATTGTTCACGGGGGACTGCCACGCTGGTGACGATGATGCCACCACCGGCGACACACCTTGGCCCATCATCGGAGCAACAAATCTCCTGTGTAGAACCTCACTGAATCGCGTAACCCACATGCCATTTCTCTCACCCTCAGACTCGGTCTCCTGGTTCACCTGCGGGGACTCAACGAGGCTCTCAGCGGAGGAAAAGATATTCCCGTCGGCCACAACCTCATCACCTCTTCTTCCTTGCATAGCACGCTGGGCTCTTAGCTGTACAGCTTGTATCACCGCGGATCTCTGCTGAGAAAGCTGCTGCACTGCATGCTGGATGGGTTGAGGTAGGCGATCTCCCATTGTAGCCGGGGTAGACTGTTGCAGCGGTTGCGTAGACGAGGGTTGTGTCTGCATGGTAAGGGGAAGAGTAGGACGCTGAGGCGGCTGCTGCGGTGCTGCTGTTGAAGGCTGTGTGCGCTGTGCATGTGCGTGTTGTGCATTCTTAGGTACAGCCTCTCCAGACCCTGAAGTCTCGACCGTCGCACCCTGTCCAGACATCCGTGGTTCTGGCACTCCAGCATCGCTAACAGACCGCTTCGGAACAGCTGCTGACGAACTAGGAACATCAACTTGCTCTGCCCTTAACTCATGGTCGGCCTGCGGTGGTGGCGGCGGCGGTGGAACACCGTTCGCCACATAGTCCGGGCCTGCATCTTCTCCTTCCATAACAGCTCCCCTTGGGCGACTCATAACCTGAAGATTCCTTTAACAGGCAGGTCGTAGGGCGGGCGACTTATAAAGCTTCAGTCAGTCAAAGGTGACCTGAAACCATGGCGCACACGCAGAACGAATTGGTTTTCACACCACAAAGCTGTCAGAGT